ATATTTTTAAATTTTTAAAATTTTTCAACATTTAATTCTATTTTAAATTTTATTTTATTTTACACATTTGGAATTTTCGAGTTTTATATTTCTCATGATGTTTAGTTAATTTAAACTAGTATTATACCCGTGCGATGCACGGGAAAATATATTTCTCATATGAAAAAGAAAGTCTTCGAATAACACATATACATATATTCCGTAGTTTATAATTTTTCCACATAACAATTCAAATTATTGTAATTGTGATCCTTTGAGGGGTGACATGTACAATGTTGGCAAGACTCTAATTTACAACGATTTAGACAAATGAATGATGACATTTACACACTTAAAAATACGGGGACTAAAATTCAATATGAGCACTATTTGAGGGATGGAAAGTGCAACATTCTCATTTTTTACATAAATTAAACAATTTTCTGTTTTTTGTGATCAATGATACATTTTTAATACTTTTGTATGATCAATCATAAACCGAATACTTTTCTAGTGTAACACATAATTTTATTGCAAATCGTTACACCAAAGGAATTCACTCAAAAATGGGAAGTTTTATTTGATTATATTATAAATAAATATGATTTCAAATATTAAAAGAGAATGATTTCCAAGGTATAATCAAGTGTTATGAAGATTTACAATATGTATTTTACGGCTCTTCTAATTGAAACACGAGTTTCAGGAACTGCACTTAAGCCTAACATATGTAAGGTTTTATTTCTAATAAGAATTTTACTTTTCACAATATATTATTGTATTGATGTCAAAATTAAATAAATGTTGTAAGTTAAATCTTCATTTAAGTTTTAACACTACCTTAATTAAAAAAATCTAGCTACACTCAACCGTACTACTACGTATATATCAAGAGTTATGTAATACTTGCCTTTTATTTAAATACTTCGTATATAATTATATCCAAATATAGTTTTGTAATTATGAGAAAGTTTATTAAATAATTTTGCTTCTGATTCGATATATGTCATACTTCTTTTAATGTTTTCATTTTAATTGTGTCTAAATCAACAGTTCATCAGTGTCTTCAATGATATAAAGGTAGATAAAACTAACACACATGTGGCAATGAGCCAATGAAATAAGTCTTAGAAATAGCAAAAAGTTATCTTTATAGAAATTGCTATAAATAGGAGCAAAACGTTTTGAAATTCCAAAAGAGATGTATCATGTTTTTTATTCTCTGAATAGGAGTAATCTCCCAAGTTTGAAAAAAAAGCCACGTTTAAAACCTAATAATACCAAATTTGGCAGAAATTTGTTCATATTCAAGGAATGTGGGTGAATTCCCCAAATAGGAGTAAAACATAGGCAAAATGCAAAAATAGGAGAACCATGTTTTAAATAGGAGTAACTTTAGTGTTTGGACAAGTATACCCCTACCCAAACCCCAAGCTCCAACAAATTTCATTAATAGTTAAAACATAAAAGAAATACTTCGTAAGATTAATTAATTTATAATAAAATTCTAAAAAAACACAAAAATATCAAATAAAATATACTCCGTATTAAATAAAATAAAAAATTATTAAAATAAAAAAGTAAAAAATAAAAAACTACAAAATTAAAAAAAATGAAAAAAATATTAAAAAAATGTAGGCGTTTGCCGCCGCCTCAACAACCTCCCAGCACCACCAACTCCGACCACCGAAAAAAATGCCAACATTTTCCCGAAATGCCATCAAGATGGCAGATTTTGAGAAAATTTGGCATTTTCAAAGAGTAAAACTGCCATCGTTATGGCATTTTCAAAGAAAAATGACAGTTTTTACATAAAATGACATTTTTTACGCTGATCGGAGGTGACATTGCTGGGTGATGACCGAGGCTGCGGGAGAGGCCTGCATAATTTTTTTTATATTTTTTAATGCAATTTATCTATTTTTTATTTATTTTTAAAGTTTTTTATTTTTTAAAAAATACATTTTTTAATATTTAATATTTTAATATTGTTGGGATGAACTTAGATTATTTTAAAAATTAAATGGCCTGCATAAAGGTTTCATTTCTAGTGAATGAACTTAGATTTTTTTAATAAGATCAAATAAGTTACTCGTATATTTTAGAATTAACTAAGTTAGGGATATTAAGGGTACAAAATTAATGTTTACTCCTATTGAAGAAAGTTTTAAGTTTTACTCCTATTTGTGCAATTATGTTTATGTTTACTCCTATATTGGGCAATTTCTCAATATAAAAAAACATGATAGTCCTATTTTGCGATTTCAAATCTTTTTTAATCATACTTAGGGAATTCTTGGTTATCTTTGTTACTACTCTGTAATACGGAGTACTTAGGGAGTGTTTGCAATAGCTTAAAAAAAGCATTTCTCGGTTTTTGGCTTAAAAAAGCTAAAATTATTGTTTTCAAATGATAACTTGTACTTAAAAAAGCGTTTTTCGGCTTTTGTGTGTGAAAAGTGCTTTTTACTTTTTCCAATTACACAAAAAACACTTATTTTATCAAACACTACTAAGTTTTACTTTTCAAAATCACTTAATCTGCCAAGGAGCCATAACTACCGATTTTCAATCTGGGCCGCATCTCTAGCCCACTTATCCGCCGTTGAACAGTTCTAACATAGATAGAGTTTGGCTAGAATGACGGCCAGTCATGTCACCTACAGTCGGCTCCGCTCTCCTTTCACAAAGCTCCGACGAAGAAAATCGGTGACGATGATCATCTTCTTCGATTAAAATTAATAGACACCTTTCATTACATTTCCATGGAGCCAAGATTCAAGGCCACTACCTGTATTATAATCATAGACCTGTCAAACATTAAAAACGGACAACCATAAAATCTAAATTATACGGAGTATCCTCTTTTCAAAGCAAATGATATTCAACATTCATTGGTCCAATATCTTATATCCTTGGTGCTTAAATTAACTTGGCTTTATGAGCATTTCTACTTTAGTTACTCAATATATGGGCAAACTAATGTACTCCAAGGGGTGGTCATCATGCATGCTGATATTTATTCAATAGGAGTATTAATTAACAGCTTTCATAATTACTTTTGGGAATTCCAAAAGATAGTTCAACCATTATTTGACAATTCAACATAATCAATGGATTGCTTCAAAATCACCGAACAACATGCTCTTGGAATCCGAAAAGACACACATAAATGCTAGCTTATAAGGTCATATATTTTTTAGACACATTTTTTCCCGCCCAACACCCCTTGTCTTCCCTCTTTGGGACTTTTGTGTTTTACTATATTATATAGATTTAGTTCTTTTAATTTTTTAAACAATTTTCTATTTATATTTTATTTTATAGCATTTAATTTGATTTTTGAACTTTTTTAAAACTTATATATTTATTTATTGTATTTTTTTACTCGGTATGTATATATCGGTTTCTAAAATAATAACTGTTTCAGTGGGGTAAATGCCGGGGAACAATTACCGAATTTTATTAAAAAATTAAATCGAAAGGAATACACAACGGGGGATATAGTTTCGTAATAGTTTATAATTACGGAATTGCCTATGATAATTTTTAATATCTTCAAATATTTTATAATTTTCAAAATCATTTTTTATAATCTTATTTTATTTTTAAGATTCCAAATATTATAGAGTTTAATTTCATCTTTTTTGAGAATTTTTTTTCACCTTTTTATTTATATGTTTGAATTTTTTTAATTATTTATAAAAAAATTAATTATTTATATTTTTTAATGCTTCAAGTACTTTTTATACAAATTATGGGTTATACACTTATACGAAGTCTTTTAAGAAATAAAAATACAGAAATGTTCTATTTCCACAAAGTTTCACGTTATAAACTATTTTAAATATTTCTTATTTTTACATTTGATTTTCGTATTTTTAAATTTTTTATATCTTTTCATATACTCTGATTAATGTTTTAAATTTATATTCCTTTTTTTAAATTTAACTTACGCGTTTTCAGCCTCGATTTTTATCATGCATTATGTGATTTCTTAATTTAATTATTTTATTATCTTTTGATTTTATCTAATTTTAATACTTTTGTTATTTTCTAATTATCTTAATCTCTTTTATTTTAATACATAAATTTATATAAGCTCCAAAATTACTCAATTCACGTTTCTAAATAAAAGATGTAAATATGTATTAAAAGAGATTAATACGCTTCTTTGAAGTAAAGATTACAATACGTTGTTGGTTCAATACTCGCATCGCAGCACATAATCTATTTTTGAAAGGAAAAGTTCAATTGACTATTTTTTAAAAGAATTTTGAAAAGTGAAAAAGGTGATATTATTTTCACTTTTGTGTCTATTTGTGAAAAATTCCCTTTTGTTCTGGTTGTGGAATCGGACCGGAACTGAGCGGGTAAAGGACCGGTTAGATTGCTCGAATTGTCATTTTCAGACCATAATCCAGAAATTAGTCCAAACTGGTTCTGCTAAAATACGACTGGAAGTGACTGCTAAAAGAATGAAAAATTGGCTAAACTCCCATAAACTATTTAAAAACAGGAAATTGTTCAAAATAGGACTAAATAGAGTTTAAAATTCAAAAATAAGACTACTATGTTTTTCTTTCCAAAATAGTTGTTACTGTCATGATTGAAAAATATTAAAATTAATTATAATAAATATTATCATATTATATGTATAGTACTGCAACAATTTGACAGTCATGATTAAAACATGACAGTAAATGAGTATCTTGTTATGAAAAACATAGCAGTTCTATTGCTGAATTTCAAACTCTATTTTTGGAAATCTCCCTTTAAAAATCGGAGTACTTTTCTCCACTAAAATTTCGATTCCACCCTGCCCCTGCCGGAACCAGCCGGCACAGAGCCGGCTTCGGTCTACCCCTAATTAAAGCTAAAAATGTCGCTAGACAAGCACTTAGAGAGTTATAGGCAGCGATGAACATTCCTAAGATATATAATTGCTGCACTATATGACATTTTGCATCTATGCAAAAATGGACTTTTGATTCTCAATTACTCTGCACTATATAATATACTCCGTATATTATGTAGTTAAGCTCTTTCAATTGTATTAAGCAAGGCGAGCAATTTGATCTCTCATTTCATTAACCAGCATAACCACCGGTCAACAGTAAGTCAAATGGGGCACAATACCCAACAAATTGAGAACCAAAAAGGTTTCCCTGTAGAATTACAAGCAAAGAAAGGGCGACATAGAGTTTTGTGTTTCTACAAATTAGATAACCATTAAATAGAAATTTTGTATTCTTCATATCACCAACTTCTCTGAGAATTCAGTTTCTCATACCGTGACAGATTCCATTAGGGTTCATCATCTTCATTCTCAAAAAACAACTGCTTTTGAAGCTTTTCTTGGAACTTCTAATTCCTAAAGGTAATCCATATACAACCATTCAGGACATAATATGGGATCACAATGAGAAGATGCATCGATAAGAAACACAAAAGGACTGACAGAGCATGACTGTTTTAGTAAAGCCATACATCAATAGCTTCATGCTTTAACTTTCATGAACATTCAATTGTTCGTGGTTGATGTCTGCAGAAATACTACCCAATCCACTACATTATCTACCCCGGTCAAATAAATACGCCATCTTTTGTAGTCATATAGCATAATGAACTGTGATTAAAATGGTTACTCAGTAAACCAATGTGTAGAGAGATGTTCTAAATAGCCCATGTATATTAATTCGGATTATAATGGATTAGTAAAACCCCGTTTTTTATGATCTATAAAAAGGCATCCATGATACATTTAACAAAACACATCTGATGCATAAAAAAGGCAGCCCAGTGCCCTTTGGCACCCCCCAAGAGTCAGGGGAAGGATCCGATCACAAGTGTGTATAAGAAAAAGTCTTCCCTTATCATTTTTAACAAGAGATCGCTCCCAAGACTTGAACCCGTGAACTCTAAGTCATGCACAACAACACCGTAAATGGTGCCAAGGCTCCCCTTCAAAACTCATATGATGTATATATACATTACCGATTTTTTCATGGGCAGTTATCCAATCCATCCACTTTTTAAAATCGTAATCCATTTGTAGAGATGACTGAGCAATGCATATAATGATACTTTTGCAGATTTTATAAATCAAGGCAATTTAATAAATCAAGGCAATCTAATAATGGGTGAGACACTGAGACGTATTTAGAAGATATTCTTAATATGATCCAATGGATTAAAATCTAATGGGTAGGTTACTAGCCATCCATATAATATGAATGGATGGATTAGATAGTCTACTATTATTATTATTATTTTGTAGGCTGAATCAATGAACATGTTTTTTTATTATGGCATCTTAATTTTTTGAAATTTAAAAAAAGAACTCAAACTACAATAAAAATTGGTCAAATTGAGGAAGAAAGAGCAAGCTTTTCATATTTCAGAACATGCAAATGGAATTACTTTGACATTGACATTGCAAGTCAGAAATAGCTCTCACCAAATTACGTCAAATTCCCAGATATTGCATGAGGAAAGATCAAACGGAATTAAAGTAAGGTTGCTTACTGATTTGATTCTCAATGAGATACCCAAGATGAAACTGCCACCAAGGGGAGCATTAATGCCAGTGCATACACTATCAGGCTATCCACATCCTTTACCCTTTCCACTTTGGTGTAGATAGAACCCAAAAATTGTGTGAAAGGACAAATTACCTGTTGGACATGCAGTACGTGAGAACTGTAAAAGGAGAAAGTATAGGCCTTGCACTATATGAATCTTGATAACACAAAGGTTTTGTAAAATGGTCAAGTAAGTGTCATTTGGCAATCGTGTTTACATTGCTCTTACTGAAACGGCTGATAATGGGGGGGGGAGTAGTACAAGAGTTACTGTTTGTGTTGCAATGAATGAAATTATTGGAAATCACACTTGAAAGTTGAAACTTTATCATATTTTCTTTAAGTTACTAAAAACCTTTAGCTAATTCAGCACATTTTAGGCCTTGCAGTGCAAGCTGAGAGTACTAACCTCAGTAATTGATTCAGTACTTTTCTCCTGATCATCAGAACTAGAAGGTGTTCTTCGCATGTATTGATCTGATGGCTTCTCGATGGTAGCCCTTACTGTATAGGAAGCTTTATATGCATAATCGGTGTGAATTGTCTCCATGACTGAACCAAAGAAGTTCGTCACAGGCACCTGATTAGTGTCTCTTCAGATCAGAAGGTGATCACAAATGTTGACTGACGACTGACAAACACTCATTCTCAAATCATTTACCAGAAACATTGTTACTATACCTCCTCCAGTTGACGTGGGTATAGATCAGTTCGATAATATGCCGTTGACATCAACAAATGTGATTTATATGAATTGAAGAGACTGCAAATTAACAACAAACCCTAAGAGGTCATATATGAAGTTGGAGATTCATAATATGGTGATGTACTACATATAATGATCAAGTATAAAACACGAATGAATATTTTACAGAATACAAAGTAAAATTAAAATAGAGACAAATAAAGTAGAGATTTAAATAATTTTATGAGAAAGCTTAATTAATAACATAAGACTGAGACTGTCAGTTCACATTCATAAACTAACAGAAAGTAAAATCTCGAAAGTTGGCTGTTTACCTGTTTAATGAGGCATTGCTATACATATTCACCCTCTCAAAAAAGGCAAGGGTATAAAATGTGAATCGATCTATAACTGAGACGCCAACCTGGACCATAGAAACCATTAATGACAAAAATTAAAGACAACTATAAGGGAATGGGATTAACACTAAATAGAAAGCTTTACTTACATCAGAGTCTAAGTGGTGTGAATATGAATTTTCTCCTTTTTTGCTACTTCCAATAGCCACAACACCAGATGAATGAAGCTGCAAAGGAAGTCTAGAGTCCAGTTCAATCAAGCGTACAATATTTTATATGTTATGAATGGTCACTAAGTCCCTTATAAGTTATACCCCCTAAAACTCATTTCAAATATTGTTTGGAGATATGACTAAACTCACTTTACAGGAACCATACAGCCATACTTCAAAGTGAAAGTTGATTTGTATAGCATGACTTTATTTAGACCAACAAAGTTTTTGAAACATGACTCGTCTCATGGTTAACCCATAAAACATACATTAGTAACACTGAGAAAGACTCATTTATGTTATCATGGAGAAGTAAATAAAATGTCAGGCTAGCCCATAAGAAATTAATTGCATACCTGAGAGAAAAGTGTAGCAGCTTGGCATGTATCAACCATTATTAACAGCTCCTTGAATCTGAAAAAAGAACAGAAATTGCACTTTATTAGAGTAAAAGCAGTCAGGCTCTCAAAAGAATATTGCAATTGAATCCAGATGAAGAGACCAAAGCCAAATCCTAACCTACGCTTTTCTTTCATTTGTTTCACTGCATCAGCTAAATCATGACTCTGAAGCTCCTCTGAATCCTGAAATTTTAAGAACTCGTCTCCACCATGCCCAGTCATATACACAAGTATGTGACTTCCTTCATCGCTTAAAAGGCGTTTTGACCTGGGGACAGCAGCTTCATGACGGCCCGTTAGGACCCTGAAGAAGTTCTCTACAGTTACTTCATATCCTCGATAATCCACCTTACTTGCAGAAGCATTAATGAAATAATGAGTTACAAATGGAAAATAGTAGCTTATTAGAGTAACCTTGACTAAGCGCAGATCAATGTAATGAATTCCCTTGCTGGAAATCTGATTTTCCTAATGCAACTTTTAATAGGTATAGTGGAATGGTGAAAGTTTCTTAAAAATTGTAACAGCAATATACTCTGTATGTCACAAATAGGGGTGAACAAAAAACAGAAAAAACAAAACCAACTGACAAACCGACCGAAACCGAACAGACCAAAACCAACCGACTATGACCAAAACTGACTAATCCATCAGTAATTTTGTTTACGGTTTATACTTTTGGGTTAACAAACCGGCCAAACCAAAATCAGCTGACAAAACCCGACAAAAACAAGCTAAAATTGACCGAAACCGATACAAACAGACCGAAACGACTCAAATTTTCTTGTCCATTTCTTGGTTTCACCTGTTTTAAATGGCGCTAAAACCGAAACCGACCAAAACCAAACGGCTAAAAACCGAAACCGACCAAAACCGAACCGATGAAACTGAAACCGACGAACAACCCTACTCACAAACTCCTCTGTCAATGAAATTGAAGGTTTTATACATGCCAACCCAGAGTACTTGTTTGAAGGCCCAAACAAAACAACTAACCTCAACATTATCTCCATATAAGTTAAGCCTGTGGTTTTCATTATTAAAGACTTGAGCAGGGTATTTGTTCCGTGGATTACAAGCCATATCATCAGCCAGCATCAAAATAATTCTTTCATCTGGTATGCCTAACCGTTTTACAGTTCTGCATCCAAGATATGTATGATGTCTGACAAATGACTCTATGAAGAAAGACATGAAAATCAAGATAGTAAGATGAATAATTTAGCTGTAAACTAAAAAAGATATATCTTTTACCTGTATAAAGACAGAGTGTTAGCCATGTGACGGTAGTTAAACCTGATTAAGCAACCATAAGAACTTTTAACAAGTTGGAAACCTTATTTCAAGGCTACTCTAATTACCAAAACCATCTATCCTAGTATCCTATATCATTCACAACTTACAAGTCACTTCAATTTTAACTAGGCAAAAAACAAGAGTCATATTAGCAATGTCGCCTATCATATCAAATCTCTGAAAAAGAACCACACATGAATACTTATTTATCCGTAAATACGCACAGCATTTCAAACTAAGATCAATTGCTGGCAGCATTTCAAAAAACCCTTCAGCGAAGTAACTTCTACAATTAGCTTTCATATTCGCAGCAACTTTTTCTGAAATCCTCATATACCTGATTTATATGACAGTTCCCAAACAGATCCAACAAAATAAACAAAATTTACAATTTTAATTGTTTTACCTGGAAAAAGAAAAACTTTATGACATTAATTGATACGGAGATCGAAGATACCAGAAGCGGGAGGTACAGACTAAAACTGCCCAGTTGTTAGTATGCATTGTTGTAGTAGTTGAAGACACACCAGCACTGGAAGCATCAGACGATACCGCGCTGTACACACTGGTCACAAGCAGAAGCAAATACACTGAGAATAAAAAATTCAGCGAACTCTTTGTCGTTGCCTTCAACCTTGTCATGACTTCGCCTACTGTTTCCATTTCTTCCGCTGAGATTCACAGTTTACTGCTTGGGAAAGTTGAAGTACTTCACAAATCACAACAGATAGGGTTTGGGATCAATTCGATTCTAGTTTAAAAAAAGATGTTTATAAAAATATAATTTTTAAATTCATTTCGATTCTACTAAAAAAATCAAGAAGCTTTGTGAAACCTAATAAAATGTAGGGAAAAATACCCAATATTACTAAAACATGTGCCTTTTCCCAAAATATGACCATTTGTGTTTTTGTATCAATTGTATGACCAAACATAGCATGTCATATATAGGCGCACGAACTAAAGGAAATAAAATATCGTAATTGCCCTTCCAATTAAGTCAAAAGCCCAGAAACGGAAAAGCAAGAAGGGAGAAACGTGCGCCGTAAAAATTGGGCTGCTAAAACGGGTTCACCGTACTAACCGCCTCTCTCTATGGTAACGAGACTGTAACGCCATATTCACAGGGATAATTTCATTTGAATTGTGAGAGAGAGAGGCGGCGTCTAACGAAGCAATAATGACGAAGACGACTCCGAAGCGGGGAAGAAGTGCAGTGAAGAAGCCAGAGAAACGACCAGAAGCGTCAACAGAGGATGCGGCGATTGAATCACATGTGTTTACCGTCAACGGAATCGTAAGTTTTCCCTGTATTTAAGAATACTTTGAAAGGTAAAACAAGGGGGACTGCTATGGGAGGGGTAGACAAGGACGCATATCTTAGGGGGTTTTTAATGGAAATAGCAGGTGTCATGAAATAGACATTGTAATTGTTTTTATTTTGGGGGGGTTGGTGGTTGATTTGGGTGTTTGGAAAGATTTGGGGGCAGTAATGTGGTAGGGATGATGTCTGAAGTTAGGTCATTATGTTTGTTCTGCAAATAAAGGTGACTGGGCATTATGAATTAGGCATTATAAGTGTAGGACTGTGTGTGATGCTGGTGTTTGGTTTTGTGCATTATATTTTAGGGAATTAAAGGTGTTTCGTTTTGGGCAATACAAAGTAGGCAGTATAATATGTAGGACAATGTGTTGGGGTTGTGTTTGTGAACGTGCATTATTGTTAGAGAAGTAAAAGTCATTTATGTGTAATAGATTAAAGGCGGTAAGATTTTTGTTGTGATATGTATGTGCCTAATCAGCAGCCTTGCTTGTGGAGTATTTTTTGAATGGTGTTTATGATTGAGCATTAGTTGTAGGGCAATATTCTTTAAACCAGCTGCTATCATATCAGTACATGCGAAGAGAAATGTACTGCAGTTCCGTAGGCATTAAGATGTTTGAAATCTGGATGTTTTTTGTGTTGCAGGAGTATGTGAAGACGACTGAGTGTGATAACTTTGTTCTTGAAAAATCTATGAAAATAAATAGCTATTGCAATACAATAAAGGTGACTGGGCATTATGAATTAGGCATTATAAGCGTAGGACTGTGTTTGATGCTGGTGTTTGGTTTTGTGCATTATATTTTAGGTAATTAAAGGTGTTTCGTTTTGGGCAATACAAAGTAGGCAGTATAATATGTAGGATAGTGTGTTGGGGTTGTGTTTGTGAACGTGCATTATTGTTAGAGAAGTAAAAGTCGTTTATGTGTAATAGATAAAAGGCGGTAAGATTTTTGTTGTGATATGTATGTGCCTAATCAGCAGCCTTGCTTGTGGACTATTTTTTGAATGGTGTTTATGATCTCTGTTAGTTTATTCGCGTATAATTCACGTATAATACACTCAAACATATAATTCGCGTATAATACTTCCGTTTATGAATTTTTCAGAAAATACTTAAAAATTCACGTACTTCAAGGATAAAATGTATAATACACGTACCGTACGTATTGATATTTATTTTATTAAAAAATATCATTAAACTAAAGCCTAATGGAGTGATACAACTGAAGTGAAATGTTTAGTTGTTCAATACTATTTATAATGCTTAAAAAACTATTTAATAGTCATCAGTTTTAATAAATTAGCTTCTTAAATTCATAATTCGTTTTTATATTACTATTGTTACTCTTATTCTCCACTCATACCAAAACTCCAAAAAGAAAAGAATATTATGACAACTCACCAAATTTACGGTCACAATAATATAAACTATTCTCTAGAAATATTTCTCTACTTCTACACAAATAGGCAATATCATTTTTATTATTTATTGTACTATGAATTAAAATTCGTATATCTGAAAAACAATTCCGTACATTTTAAACTGTTGAAGAATGTAATGCATATGCTAAATTACTTTTTATTCTCATCATTAAATTAGTATATAAGACATGTATTATATGTCGTATTTTTAAATTGTGAAATGTTTAAAACACGTTCGTATCTTTATTCATTTCACGAACGTATAAAACATATATTTAGCCGTATTTTATATAATTGTATCGTATTATACACGAACGTACATATTATTGTATTATTCACGAACCGTATAATACTAACAAAGTTTATGATTGAGCATTAGTTGTAGGGCAATATTCTTTAAACCAGCTGCTATCATATCAGTACCTGCGAAGAGAAATGTACTGCAGTTCCGTAGGCATTAAGATGTTTGAAATCTGGATGTTTTTTGTGTTGCAGGAGTATTTGAGGATGACTGAGTGTGATAACTTTGTTCTTGAAAAATCTATGAAAATAAATAGCTATTGCAATCCAATAAAGGCAGTTGAGAGTATAAGGAATAATTTAACTAAGGATGAGCTGACTGAATTCAGAAAATCACTTTGGATATTTACTTGACTTGGGAAATATTCCTTGGGTGAATGGGCAATTGTTAATCCTACTCATGGCAAATCTCATTGACCGTTTGAATATGCCGGAGGACAAAACAAAGATGGAATTTATGATTGGTAATAAAGTTGTTTGCTTTACAAAAAGGGATGTGGCAGTAATAACCGGGTTCCCATTTGGTAACGACAAACCAATCATATCCACAAAGGAACCTGGGGATTTGTGGAGTAGATACTTCTATGGCATGAAAAGAGTTAAAAGAGGGAATATTAAAGAGGCTTTTGAAACAGGGAAGGTCAGAAAGGGGGGTCCAAAGGAAATGGATGCTGTAAAGCTTGGATTATTGCATGTCCTTGGTAGCTATATTATGGGAAATCAAACATCAACAACACTCCCAGCTATGTACATCAATTTGGCAGATGATATAAACAAGTTCAATACATATCCATGGGGGGATGTTGTATGGGATGATTTACAAGAAAAGGTAAGGAAGTGTGCAAATGTTCTTTACCAAGAGCCGGGTGCAAGATTCACTTTTCCAGGATATCTATTTGTGTTGCAAATCTGGGCGTATGAGACATTTCCAAGGCTTGAAAAAGCAAAAGTGTGCGTGAGGAGGGATGGATCAAATCTGTGACCTAGGACAGTTCAATGGTCAGCTTCTGCTAGGCCTTCACAGCAAGTACTTGATGATGTGATCAGGGCCGGCCCAGGGCATGTCTGCCCAGTCCAACCGCACAGGGCCCGGATTTTTGAAAGGCCCAAAAAAATTTAGTATTACACCTAACCCATTAATCTTTTAGCCCAACATCTACCTTCGCCCAAAATCCCCTGCGTTAACTCCCGACTCCCAGTCCCGACTTCATTCATCCACCCAACGCCAAAATTCACAACCACACATCCCCGGCTCCGCACACCACACACCGCACACCGCCACAACCACACCTCCGCACGCCGCCTTCAGTCCACCAGCGTCCAACCTTCCAGGGGTCACTCCAGTCTGCAGCACTACGACACTGCATCTGTGCGGCTGTGGACGTCCGCACTCCGCACACCGCTAGGCCGCCACGGCGCAGCTGCCCACCTGCCATCACGACCTGCCGGCCGCCTCCCTCACGCTCCCGCCTCCCTGAGTCCGGTCAGTCCACCTATTTTCAATTTTTTTATTCATTTAGTTGATTCTTGTGAATTTTTGAATTATTGAATTGATGAATTGTTTGTTGAATTGTTGAATTGTTGAATTGTCGTAATTTGTTTATTTTCTGATTTTCTGATTTCATGTTTGTTGAATTGTTGCATTGTGGTTATTTGTTGATTTTTTGCAGTTAAAGTGAACCATCATTTGAATTGATAATAAATGTGTAAATGTGTTTAGCAATTAAAATTTAAGAAAATGGTATAAATATATTATTAGATAACTTGAGGTCGATAAATTGGAATTATACATACACTAGTATAGTCATTCATGTTTTCACCCTAATTTTAAACTGAATATTTTAATTTAAAATTTATAAACAATTTGCTTGTGTTGCAACTTAAAAAATGGCCCAAATTTTGTTGTTGCACAGGGCCTCCGTTTTTTCGGGACCGGCCCTGGATGTGATATTTAGAAATGAGCAGGTTGAACAAGGAAAAAACTTGAATGTATGAATTGTATTTTTTCAATCGTGTAGTATAGTAATGTTGTTTCATTATGTTTGCAGGTAGAATGGGAAGAAATTAAGCTCACTGATAAAGAGATGAAGATGGACTTGGTGAGTAAAGCATGCACACTTGATGGTAATGGAATGGGTGTTAATGATGGAATTGAAAGTGATGATTTTGTGGAACGTGCCCCCAAGAAAGTGATTAACAGGAGAGCAAAGAGTGGTACTAAGGGTGTAAAGAATAAGGTGGCTGCAAAAAGAGCAAAAGGAAATATAAAGAAGACATGTAGCATTGATGAGAACGGAGATGAATTGATACACAATATAATGGCAGCGCTCACTTTGCAAGGAAAAAGAATAAAAAGGCTTGAATTGAATTGGTTTGAATTTACCTTAGTAAACAGTGTGGTAACAATTTACTCAAATCCAATGGTTTGATTTGGTTCGGTTTAAAATTGAAAAACTATAAATCGAACCGTATAAATCGAACCGAATATGCGATAACTTGTAATATATATAAAAATATTTTGTATTTATCTTTATTCTTAATAGTTAGCATATAAATAAATAATTTAGATATGAAAAATATGTGGTACATGTTTAGCATATACTCTTTCTGTTCCGTTAAGATTGTCCTATTTTTCTTTTTTGGAAAGTTCAGGAAGATTGCTGCATACCACAAAAACTCACTTTTCTTAATGACTGTGTCAATCCTCATGTCCCAATGTTAGTGGGATGGAAGTAGTATCATTTTAACTTTTAAACATTCTATACATTCATTATGATAAAGTTAGCTAATACGACATACTTGTATTTGTTATATTTTGTACTCTAGTTGTATGAAAGATGTTCGGTGATAATAATAGCAAATTGCATTTGTATTTTTTACATGATTCATTTGAATAAATTTGTAAATATTATAACATTTTTACCACCGACTCATAGAGTTTTCTTTGAATACTCTATGTGATATTATAAATGGTAATCAACTACGGAGTATAATTTTTTTTTTGTGAGAGATGAATCTTTTTCCTAGTGACCGAAAAATGTTAGATGTTTACATTAGTCTCAATAAGATAATTTAGGTGTTAATTTATACTCCGCAATATTTAATTATTTCTTTTTCTATCTTTTATTTTCATTTACATTTTATTTAAATAATTAATACAAGAAAATGAGATGGACTGCTATTTTCATTTTCGAATTCTAAAATATAGAACTTGATCAAATATAATAATCAACATTTGAAACCGAATAAAATCGAACTAAATTGAACCTAATAATTTTCACTTTGGTAAACCGAACTTCAAACCCACTGAAACCAAACCGAAACGTAAAGGATTTTAGTTTGGTACAATATCTCTCAAACTGAATAAACCGAAACTGAACCGGAACCGGAAAAACAGAACCGTAAACCGAATTGCCCACCTCAAAACCTAACTATGTAAGGCGGAAGAAGGGGTGTTTCTATTACATTCAATTGTTCAAATGGAGTTAAAGGTTTGTGACGAGTCTCTAATATATGGTGTGAGTTAGCTCACCATATTTTAGCATTTTATGTAAGCATGTTAGAACCAGAATCAAACAGTTTATAAGATTCAGGAACTGAAGCGAGATTTCTGAAGTCCATATTATTAGGAACCAAATATGTGAATTCGATTCAGTTCCGAGAGGTTTTCCCGATTCTAAGTCCTATGTCTAGGAACAGACGTAATTACGGGAATGGATCTGCTCATCCAAAGAGTTGCTTGGCGCACGACATTTTATGTCATGTATGGATAACTATGACCTCGTTATTTTCTTAATTACAAATTTTGTTAATGGATAGAACACTTATTTGTTAACGGATACTCCCTCCGTCTCTTAAAATTTGGCTAAGTTTGGCCGACACAGGGATTAATGAAGTAAAAACTGTGTGATTGAGAATTGTGCAGAGGAGAGAGAATTAACTGGAACCACAAATTTTTTACTAAAAAGGGAAAGTGACAAAGTTAGTGGGACAACCCAAAAAGGAAAGTTGGCAATGTTATTGTTATTTGCGTATCTCAAAGATCTACAAAAAAATAATTAAATAAATAATTATGAAAAACGATAAGCGTACGGAATTGAAAAGGATTGAACCGAGCCCAACAATTTCTTGTTGTCTCCTTAAGACAAATTCGCCCGCAACAATTGTCTCCCAGGATAGAATGAGCCTACTCATTGGATATATGAAAGTTTATGGGTTGCGCTAGTTTAATCCCGAAAAGTGTACGACAGGAGAACTTGAGGTACAACTGTCACTAGACCGAGGTCTAGTGCAGTTGAGGCAGTTTCGTGCAGTTTTCCAAAAACTGTCACAATTATTCCCAAATGGAGTTTAATCGCATACAACGGTTCATATGGATATATATCTCCATATTTCTTACAGAGGAGAAGATACAAAACATATCTTCATCACTTTGGCATTCAATGTTGGAAAATGTGTTAATAAATTGCATTAAATGGTCATTTTGGGGAAATTATTTGAGTGGGGACCACTTCCGATTTGGGTCAGGTCAAAGTGGTTTCAGATTGTCCTTGTTAAGGGCTACAATTCGATATATGGTACACTCAAAATGGATAACGGGTGAATGAGAAATTGATTCTCGAAGTTCCCTATTTGAAACGGAAAAACTGGGGAAAATGATGGGTTTCTAGTGTGATTTATCCCACACCGGAAAACCCAAGAGATTTTCACCCCCTTAAAGGGAACCCTCTTTGAAGGAGTTAAGATTCCTACGGGGAAAGGCTCTCTTCGCGTGCAGGGGGGTGCCGATCAAATGCCGAAAACGGAGAAGAAAAACCTCTACTCATATGCGCGGGCGACATGCGGACACGAACGTTGTCCGAAAATCTATCATTCAAAGATACGATTTAATTTTTGCTTCTTTTCGTTACGGTTGAGTTTTTCGAACCAGAAGACCACAGGGGTGTTCTGGTGCCTTCCCAACAGAAGACCAGAGAGCACCTCAGGGGTGTTCTGATCGCACAGAGAGCACCTCTGGTGGGGGCATTCTGGTCGCGCACCAGAACTGCTCCAAGCTGTTACGGAAGTTAATGTTCAACGTTCTTATCTTTTAATGTTTCGTCAAATGGACAGTTTTTTGACATATTAATGCCCAACGTGCTGGACATTTATGTGCAACATTCAGGTTCATTAAAGCTCAATTAACACACCACAAATTCTCTTATAAATAGCTGGCAGGTGCTTTGCAACAAACACACGTTCTTACACGCTCACAGGCAATCTCCACGTAGTTTTAGCTCTAAAATCACTTCCAGCTACTCCAAAAACTTCCTGAGTGTTCTACCTTATTCCCGTTCGCCGGAACTTTCGTTTGTGTGCTCAAACGTTAATTCGTTATCCATCGTATCCTGGGAAACGGTCGTTGCAATGCTCCTAGCACCGTGAGAGGGGACAAATACATTTTAAGGACATCGTGCGTAGCACGAGCTCTGGCTAAACTCTGCTTCATCTATTTTCTATTTTCTTTGGTCATTTTAATTAATTAATTTTTATTAATTATTATTCTTTGTTTTTCGAAACACAGCCAACATTCAACTTAAAGAAAACAATTCATATACTCACTAGTTTGTGCTTTTGAATTTGTGTCTAAGTTCTTGATTCTCCTTAAGGACTATCCTAGATTGAATATCTTGTAACCCAGGTATATGGGAGAAATATCAATTCGAAAAGTGAACATACACGATCCTTGAGCAATCCAAGTACTCGATTATGATCACTTACGAACCCCAACAAGATAGAGGTATTCAAATACTGACCCCTTTGAGAGCTTAATATTTTGTTTTAGGTTAATGCTTGAGCTTTCTATCAGAACACCTGCCGAGGGTGGTGTTGATGTGGAGCCGTTGTTTGTGCTCCACCATTCTTTTCTACTTCAACATTACAATTAGTTGTTAATGGATTAAATAGTTGTTATTTAGAAAGGGTTTGGTATGAGGTAAAATAATTACTTTCAATGGAAAGTGCAGAAATGTAAAAAGTTTTTACACTGTTTGGTTGGATTATTTAATTTAAACTGTAGGGCGCTTTTTAAAAACACTTCGCATGCACCGTGGCATGCAAAATATTTTACATGAGGGGAGGTAAAATATTTTGCATGCTTTTTATAAATCAACGCAACGCATTTGCATGCAAATTCAAAATAAATTACACATCTAGACAAATAATGTATCTATTTTACATGAAATTAATGATTACTTCCCTAAACTTTGAATGCAATCATTTCACATGCAAAGATTTAACATGTAAACTTATTGAGAATGTAAAGGAGGAATTATTTTCTCACTTTTTTCGATGTGCTCAATCCCATATATATACACTTGATCTGCCGCTAACTAAGGGAGAAGTTATGCTACGATTACAAAGAAGAAGAATTCTACTCCATTACAAAATGCTAACAGAAAGCTATCCACATGCAAACTAAATAATGTACAAATAAAATAATGTACATAAAAGATAATGCACCGGTTCAATATGCACCAACAGCCCCCTCAAGATGGAGCATGGGGGTTGAGAATGCCCATCTTGGAAAGAAGATATTGAAATTGGCGAGAACCCAAGGCTTTGGTGAACAAATCAGCTAGTTGTTCAGATGTAGACTTGTGTATAGGAATAATTGCACCAGACTGAACGTGTTCACGAATAAAATGACAATCCAACTCTATATGCTTAGTATGTTCATGAAACACCGGATTGGACGCAATATGAATAGCGGCTTTATTGTCACAAAAAAGTTGCATAGGAGAGAGGCGAATTCGCATAGAAGAGAGAAGATTACGAAGCCAAAGAAGCTCGCATGTAAGTGATGCCATAGAGCGGTACTCTGCTTCTGCCGATGATCGGGAAACTGTAGCTTGCTTTTTTGTACACCAATAAATAGGAGATCTGCCAAGCGTTACAAAGTAACCGGTAACAGAACCACGAGTCAGTGGACAACTTGCCCAATCTGAATCGCAATATCCTTCAAGGGAAAGAGATGTACCAGATTTCAATAAAATTCCTTGACCGGGGCTGCCTTTGAGATAACGCAAAACACGAACAATGGCATTCCAATGATCAATACGAGGTTGCTGCATAAATTGAGAAAGTACATGCACAGAATAACATATGTCTGGCCGAGTCAGGGTTAGATATATAAGTTTGCCGACTAGCCGGCGATATCGATCGGGGTCTTCAAAATATGGCGCATCACTAGATTGAAGGCCATGATTTTGAACCATAGGAAAATGAACCAGTTTTGCTCCACTTAAGCCGGTTTCAGCAAGAATGTCCAAAACATATTTGCGTTGACACAAAAAAAAAATCCCGCTAGAATTTCTGGCAACCTCAATTCCCAGGAAATATTTCATATAGCCCAAGTCTTTAACAGGAAACACGCCAGCCAAAAATTTCTTAAAACCAACTATCATGGTGGGACTAGTACCAGTTATAAGCAGATCATCCACATACACAAGAATACATAACATATTACCACCACGATGAAGAGTAAAACCATATGAGAGTAGTGCAGATACGAGCTTAGAAAACCAACAACGTGGCACTTGTCCTAACCCATAGAGGGAACGAAGCAACTTACACACCTTCCCAGGTGCTGAGGAATGATAACCAGGTGGTAAGTGCATATATACCTCTTCATGTAGGTCACCATGTAAGAATGCGTTGTCAACATCCATCTGATGTAGTTGCCAGCCACGAGATGCCGCTATTGTCAAAATGGTTCGAACCGTGACCATTTTGGCAACCGGAGCAAAAGTCTTGTCGTAGTCAATATCTTGTATTTGTCGGTTACCACACACTACTAGGTGAGCCTTGTACATGTCAATAGTACCATCACTTTTATATTTAATTTTATACACCCACTTGCAGTAAATATCCTTCTTCCCTGGAGGAAGATCTTGTAACCGCCAAGTTCCTGTGCGCTCAAGGGCCGCAATTTCGTGTTGCATGGCTGCCCTCCAGCATGGATCTTGGACTGCCTCACGAAACGTAGAGGGTTCTTTAGTGGTAGAGATAGCTGCAAGGAAAGCACGATGGTGGGCCGAAAAACGATTATAATTTACATAATGAGATAAGGGATAAGGATTACCCGAATTAACCGGTGGAGTAGGGCGATCAACTGACAGAGTATCTATTTTCATAGTATTGAGCTATACATCATAATCTCGGTGCCATGCAGGTATTTGTCTAGTCCTGTGACTACGTCGTGTGCCATGTTCTTGCTGGAAATCTGGAATATTATCACGTGAGGTGTCATCACTACGTTCCAAAGTGATGTCTGCTGCATCTTGCACGTTAACTCCCTCCGTCATGGGTTCATTTTGCAAGTCAAGAGTAGGCTGTCCAGGTGTCACACCCTCACACCTTTATGGAGTTGCCTGTGCAGTAGCATTATTTACATGATCATCATCAAAACGTTACAAGGCTTCCAAATCATCAGTGATTGGAAGTGATTGAGAAATGTGATGATCCGGGCTCTCCTCCATTTCAGCATAAGGGAATCGTGTTTCAACAAAAGTAACATCTCGGGAGACAAATTTCCTATTATTTTAAATATCATACACGGTCCACCCCTTTTGAGAGTAAGCATATCCCAAAAACACACATTTGACTCCACGCGATGCAAACTTATCTTTACCTTGATGCAGAGTATGAGCATAGCATAGACAACAAAATACACGAAGATGATTATATTTGGGTGTCATGTTATACAATAGCTCATACGGACTTTTATAATCCAAAACAGGGGTTGGCAGCCGATTAATAAGATAACAAGCAGTCAAAACACATTCTCCCCAAAACTGAATTGGTAAATGGGCATGAAAACGCAGGGTGCGTGCTATTTCTAAAATGTGCCTATGCTTGTGTTCCACTCGTCCATTTTGTTGTAGAGTATAAACACATGAGGTTTGAAAAAATAATTTCATTATCCAAAAAATAATGTTTCAAACATTGAAATTCAGTTCCGTTGTCGCTACGAACAATCTTCACCCTTTTTCAAATTGACGTTCCACCATGAGGAAAAATCGTTTTAGTATACCAGATAACTCACTCTTTTCACGCATTAAATGAACTCAAACAGCCCGTGAAAAACCATCAACAATCGTCAAGAAATATTGTGCTCCACACGAGGCCGGAAATCAATATGGACCCCACACATCACAATGTATCAATTCAAAGGATTGAAAAGCTTTAGAATTATTAACTGTAAAAACTTCACGTGTCTTTTTTCCACGCATACAAGCATCACAATTTGTATTCAAATCAGGTGCGGAAAGAGTCTTATTCAAACTAACAACTGAATGCAAAACTTTTACAGACGGATGTCCTAACTGGGAATGCCACAAATCTCTTATTTCATTCTGTGTTATTGAGCAAACACGTACTGAGTCCAAACTACGAAAATAGTATACTTCACCATGTATTTCACCCGCTCCAATCGGCGTCTTTGAAAGTTGGTCCTGCATCACACATAAAACATTAGCAAAATATACACCGCAATTTTGGTCATCAATTAAACATGCCAATGAAATTAAATTGACCGTCAAATTTGGAATTAGCAAGACAATTTTAAGAGTAATTCCTCGGCTAAGGTATACATCTCCCATGCATGATGCGTAGGTTTTGTCTCCATTTGGTAAATAAACAGATATTGGGGTCAATTTCTGTTTATGGTTCAGGATCTGTTCGTTGTTGGTCATGTGAAAAGAGGCGGCTCAATCCAATAACCAAGAATTAGTACCTGCAAGTTTTTCATGTGGTGTGGCAACTTTACATGATGAGACGCACCACTGTCAAAGAGGCATGGTTGACCATTGGGAGATGATGTCACTGATGTGTTATGAACCGTCGGAGTGGACGAATGTGGTACTTGGTGGTCTCAGAGAAATCTTTGTAATTTGCGGCAAGCCTTAACATCATGGCCGATGTTTTCACAAAATCTGCATGTGATGGGATTTGAGTGGGAGCGTGTGTGAGCTCCAGAATAGCCTCCACGCCCTCTCCTGGAGGATGGTGAGCGACGATCCCCAGATGAAAAATGGCGACGATCTCCAGGTCGGTCAGCCATATGAGTGGCGTTGACCGTGGGAATAAGAGAGCCTGCCGTAGTAATATGTCTTGTAATTGGGTAAGTGGCAGGGCAGTCTCACGAACCCGAATAGCGGAGGTAATGCCGCTATATTCAGATCCAAGGCCATTAAGGATATTAATGACCAAATCTTCCTCGGATTGAGGACATTGAGCAAGAGCAAGGGCTTCTGAAAGGGCATACATCTCGGCCAGAATAACAGGCCGGTTTCCCTTCGTGGTACGTGCTAGCGTGGTTTTAAGTGAGATAATACGATCACGTGATGTGCTAGCGTATGTGAGGGCCAATTTTTCCCATGCTTGACGGGCAGTAGTAGCCGATGAAAGGAGTGGTTGGATGGTATCGGTGCAACTGCCTAGGAGTGCACTAACAATGGTTTTATCTTGGCGGTACCAAATGGTGTAACAAGGGTTGATTTGTGTTTTGGCAGTATCCATATACTGATCCGACGCGGAGAGAGTGCCATCAACATATGCATCTAAGCCGAGGCCAACAAGGGCAGAGTGTACTTGACACTTCCACACAGGAAAATTTGATGTGGTGAGTTTGATAGGGAAATGGGTTGATGCCGTGAGAGAGAAAACCGGCGTGGTGGGGATGATAGTGGCCATAGCTGGATCGGAAAAAAAAGCTCTTTAGAGGAAGGCTCTTGATACCATGAAGGAGTTATGAAAATGTATTGATTCAATTGATAATCGTACATGCATGTGTATATATACACGTGAGTTACAAAATGATAAGCTTCACCTCTACAGATTATGCTAACTAACTAACACATGAGAATAGGGTGTGTGAGTACATAGTAGCTATCCACCATGCGTACATAAATATTGTAACAATAAATAATGTAACAATAAAATAGTAAAATAACTGAACTAATATTATGTTCCAATACACTGTTCCATGAGCTGGAGGAAATTGCGCCACTGTTCATCAGTAAAGGTTGGTCCACGTGTGTCTTCTCGGGAAGGATTGTTTATCTTCCTTCGCTGCTGGTCATTCGAGGTCATTGCAACAGAACTGGAAGTGTTGCGGTCGTTGATGCTGTAAAACGAGCAGGGAAACGTAGATTTGTTTACCACTCTGATACCAAATTGAGAATGTAAAGGATGAATTATTTTCTCACTTTTTCCGATGTGCTCAATCCGGCCCATATATATGTACACTTGATCTTCCGCTAACTAAGGGAGAAGTTATGCTACGGTTACAAAGAAGAAGAATTCTACTCCATTACAAAATGCTAACAGAAAGCTATCCACATACAGACTGAATAATGTACAAATAAATTAATGTACATAAAAGATAATGCACCGGTTCAATATGCACCAACAAAACTACCAAACGAGCCCTTAATTAAGAGTACGTAGTATTTTGCTTTGGGCGTGTGTGCAGTGGCGGAATTAGAAATTATTGTAAGGGGGGCACAATCACAAAAGAAAGGCAAAAATAGTAATAATAAAAATAATTGCCGGGCGGTGAATACAACGGATGGTGGCGCGCAGAGGATGACAGTTGGCGGGAGTGGCTGGTAGCAGCGAGAAATGTGTACTCCGGTGGTGAGCTGGCTCCGGGAGACCTGGCGCGAGGCACCCCTTCCGATGTGGCGTTGCTGCAAAATTGGCGATAACTCGTTCCAGACCTTGAGGGATTCAAGGCTTGTAGAGTTGCCGCTTGGTCTGTCTAACGCCTATTTTCTTGTTTGAGCTGTTTCTTGTTGGGGCTTGGCAGTTGGACCAATCGGCCAAGAAAGTTGAGCTGATTTTTTTAATTGATCCTACGAAATGGCGTCGTTCCACAGTAAATAAAAAAATAGCCTCCAGTCTTCTTCGGTCAGTTTAGTTCATCGTCTTCCGTCCTCACATCCTCAACATATAATCGCAGGAAAACTCCATGGAGAACGTACCAGACCGGCGGCCCCGTACCCATTTCTGTACATCTCGGATTGTTGAAGCAGGGGCACCGGCCCCCTGGCCCCCCTTGCAAATACTACGTACTTCCATAAACTTTGCATGCAATCATTTCAGGTGCAATGATTTAACATGTAAACTACCAAACGAGCCCTTAATTAGTAGTACGTAGTATTTTGTTTTGGGCGTGTGTGCACCTACCTTGCCTTATGTGGATAAACATAAATTCAGATGTTTTTAATTGAATTGAAATTTTATGGTCAGATCTGGTTTGATTTGGTATGAACTAGTTTGGTCTATTCTCGTCTAATCTGGTCTGTGACACAAAATGGTCCAATTGAAAACATCCTTATTTAAATTTCAAGAATGAGGATTGTGGAACTTGCTCCGTTATAAATTGAAAAAGCGAGATCTGCAATCTAGAGGATGAAATTACGTTCACTCCAAAGCGTTTGGGTCTTAATATTCTAGTGCAACGAATATATGATTATGTCTCTTGCTTGCCCAAAAAAATGATTATGTCTCAGAATCGATTAAGCGATAAAGAAAATATGTTAGTGTACACACTTATCTTTTGGCATGACTTTGAAGTAGGGTTGTATACGAACCGAATCAAGTCGAATAATGAGATTTTGTATTTGTATTTGTTTAATTTTTTCGAATACGAATTCGAATTCAAATATGAAACGAATATTAATTTTGATTTGTATTTGTATTTGTTTAAAAATACGAATAGTTAACGAATCATATACGAATATCGAATCGATTTGAGCATAAGTTAAATTTTAGTCAAATATCACTCTAAAATAACTTTTTTATATTCAATATTTTTTATGTTGTAAATGCATGCTATGACTTAATATGTGTTTTTTTAATTTAAGTTTAATGGATCAATGCATTTTTAGATTTTACACAATATACTAAAGTGAATTAATTTTATGATTAATAAATATAAATCTATTTCAAACTTTTTTAACTAAACACTAACACACACATATTAGAAATTATACTTATAATGTGTGAAATAAGTTGATAATTGTATATATCAAAGTCAAACAACTCTAATTTTATTCTTCAAATTGAATACATAATTATTTATATTGTATTTGAAAGACGTTTGAACCAAAAAAATTGATTTGTATTTGTATTTATATTCTGATTTATTACAAACAGGTTTGGAATTTGTATGCAAAAGTGTATATATGGGTTACACTTTGAGGGCATTGCTATCTTTTAAAAGTTATTATAGTGTTATTACTACTATTATTATTAATATTGACATTAATATTACCATTATTATTAATCGAATATATTTGATTAATATTTATTAGGAGTTAATTTATTTATTTACTTATTTGGATTATTTACTTTCTCTCTAAATCATTGTATTTTAGGAAGTTTATTCCTTTTAGACTTCTTTCTTTCCTCCTCCTCTAATACCAGCTTCGAACTCCTGACGTGGTGGATAGCAGTATCATATCAAACCATCCAAGCCAAAGAGGAGCCGGTATTAGAGGAGGAGGAAAGAAAGAAGTCTGTTTTTTAGATTTCCACGAGATAGGGGAATGACCCAGAAAAACCAGCCACCCAGATATAGACCTCCGCGTAAGTGGACAAGCCGCCCAGTCTGAATCACACCAACCGGTAAGAGAAAGATTACTGTCAGCTCGAAGTAAGATGCCTTGACCAGGGGAGCCCTTTAAGTAGCGAACAACACGCAGAGCTGCTGTCCAATGCTCAGCCCGAGGTTGTTGCATGAATTGAGACAGGATGTGAACCGAGTATGTAAGATCAGGACGAGTAACAGCTAAATAAATGAGCCGACCAATAAGACGTCTATACTGCTCAGGATCCGGATGATACGAACCAGAAGCATTACCGAGAGCATGATTCTGCTCTATAGGAAAAGTAGCCGGCTTGGCGCCCAGAAGACCAGTTTCAGATATAATATCAAGTGCATATTTGCGCTGATTAAGAAAAATACCAGACGAGCTGCGTGCTACCTCAATGCCAAGAAAATATTTAAAAGCACCCAAATCTTTCATATGAAAGCACATATTAAGGTATTGTTTAAAATTAGCAATAGCATCAGCATCATTTCCAGAAATTAAAAGATCATCCACGTAAACTAACACATTAAGTTGGAGTTTGCCACGCGTTAGGGTAAATAAAGAATAATCAGCACAAGACTGGAGAAAATCATAGCCTTTGAGGGCAGCTACTAATTTGGCGAACCAACATCGTGGAGCTTGCTTAAGTCCGTAGAGGGATTTATGAAGACGGCACACCAAAGATTGATCTGCGGTGGTATAGCCGGGAGGGATCTTCATATACACTTCTTCTTGGAGGTCACCATGCAAGAATGCATTATGGACATCCATTTGATGCAATTCCCAATTTTTACAGGCGGCAAGTGCAAGGAATGCCCGTACTGTTACCATTTTGGCAACAGGAGCAAATGTCTCTGTATAATCCAGTCCAGCAACTTGTCGGTTCCCAAAAATGACCAATCGTGCCTTAAGGCGCTCAACGGTGCCATCAGATTTATGTTTAACTTTATAAACCCATCGACACCCTAATGCACGTTTCCCAGGAGGCAACGGCACAAGACTCCAAGTGGTATTTTTTTCAAGAGCCTGAATTTCGGAACGCATGGCTTGGCGCCATCCATCATGCTTCACCGCATCATTAAAAGAAGTTGGTTCGGTAACCGAATCAAGTGCTGCCAAGTAAGTCAAATGTGTTGTAGAGAATTTTTCACAAGTAACGTAATGAGTTATAGGGACCGGCGTACCTGAGGAGGATGATGGAACGAGAGAAGCGGGGAATGATGATGATGACGGCGCAACATCCGGCGGCACAGCGGCGAAGATTGACTATGCTTCGCCGTACTTCTTGGGTCCTCAAGATCGGCCCGACGACTTTATTACTTCGGTTCGACTTACCGGGAACAACTATGATGATTGGTCCAATGCTGTCCGGTTGGCTTTACGTGCGCGACGTAAATATGTGTTCGTTGATGGAACTCTCAAAAAACCGGCGCCGCCTTGCACCGAAGATGATTGGCTTACGATACATTCAATGATTGTGTCGTGGCTGTTGAATATTAGTGCCCCTGATGTCAAAGCAACGTTGGCACGTTATGAAGATGCCGCAAAACTCTGGGCAGATTTAAAAGAACGGTTCTCTTCTGCGGACGGACCACGCATACATCAAACTAAAACTGATTTGGCAAGATGTGTGCAAACTAAAGGCATGCCGGTTGGAACATATTTTGCTAAACTTCAAAGCCTATGGGATGACTTGAATAATTACGAACCGCTTATTGCGTGTACATGTGGGAAGTGTACATGTGATGTAATGGGACAACATGAAAAACGAAGAGAATCGGAACGATTTCATCAATTTTTGATGGGATTGTACACCGATTTCTTTGGCCCTACCCGCTCGCAGCTCTTGACTCAAACACCCCTGCCTAGTTTGAACCGTGCCTATCAACAAACTATGTAAGAAAGAAGTCTAAAAGGAATAAACTTCCTAAAATACAATGATTTAGAGAGAAAGTAAATAATCCAAATAAGTAAATAAATAAATTAACTCCTAATAATATTCGAATCAAATACACTGATATTCTTATTTGTATTTGATAACAACTCGAATCAAATTTAATATTCTTATTTGTATTTGAATTTTCCGAATTCGAATTGTCTTGTACGAATTTGAATCGCGAATCGAGCACAAATTATTTGATTCTTTT